ATTTTTGTCATATATACATATACCTGCACTATTATTTACTTCTTTTCTTTAAATTGACTCTTACTAGGTTAAAAAAAATTTTAAATACCTTATACGTTTAAATACCTAAATACGTTAAAAAAAGCATTTTACTGCTATAAATAGAAGATGTCATAAAAAAGAGGAAAGCAAAGCAATGTTACTGAACTTAAAATAATGAAATACAAGTAAACCTAATCCTTTAGATTATATGTACATATTTTTGTACATGTATACAAATCTAATCATTCTATAGCTGTTCATACCTGAAATAAGTGTGCCTCACTGAGGAGACGAGGATTTTCTGACCAGTCGCCAGTAATGGGGTATTCCAGTTCATGCTGCTTCAAGGTGAAATGGGATTCACTGCCAATAGAAAGAACCTGGATTTTAGCTTTGATGGTAAGCACCAACAGCAGTGCCTTGACAGGTGAACCTAGTGGCAGTGGGCAGAGACCCCCCTTGCGCCCCCGCCACTCTCCCATCTTACTCTCAGCCTCCTAGGCTCCAGCTGGCACACCACACACTGGGGTATACGGTGGCACCAGGTCAGCTGAAATGTCTGTCCCTGTCCTTGCGGCACTTGCCTCCACCTGGGGAGAGCGACGTTACACATAAGGACACGACAGGGAGAGGGTGTTCTGAGAGTGCCAAAGGGGACTCCCGGCCCAAGCTGGGCCTCTGGGAAGAAAAGGTCATGCCCCTCATACTTGCATGCGTCTCTCATAAACCCTTCCCAGGAGATTAAAATAAGGCGCCTAAGACACTCTACCTCTAGAAGCTCAGGATCTGGTGAGGGGAGAGATTCTCAAAAGAGATTATTATAATATAGACGCCAGGTGCAATGAGAGTGATAAGGTAGGGACATCACGGAGGGACAAGAAGGGCCCCGGCTCGCTGCAGGCAGGGAAGAGCGCCCCCTAGGTGGTATTCATATTGTCTTTTACTTCTTTCTAGGCTTCTCGCCAGAAGTTCAATTCCTGAAGGTCTGAGTCTGGGTTATTTCCCTGTTTGTGTAATGCCTTTTACGTAAATGGGAGTACCACTATTATCTACTTAATATTTACTCTAAGCAATAATCAATGCACGTCAAAGTCTGATTTTTAAAAGTTAAAAACACGACTCCTATTGAATATAAAATGAATGTAGGTCAATGATTTTACTCATTAATTAATGAGATGCTGAAGCAGGTTCAAAAATCACTTTGGGTAACTGGCAATTTGTGGGCAAAATCTTAATAAACGAATGTTAGGTTAAGATTGCTACATTAGATACAAAACTGCTTAATGTCCTACAAAACAAGAGACAGTAACTAACCATGAACGTTCTGTTTTTACCAGATAGAAATCATTTACCGTTCTACTATCAATTAGAAATCTATCAATGAGAGGTCGCGTCACCGAGCGTGAGCTCTTAATTTGCTAACAGCAAGTTCAAACACTTCTATAATCGAGGGCAGAGTTGACAACTTTTTTTCTATAAAAGGCCAAGATAATAAACATGTTAGGCTTTTCAGACTATAAAACATCTCTGTCATATATTCTTATTTCTTGCAATTCCTTTTTATTGAGGTATAGTCAGTTTACAATGTTGTGTCAATTTCTGGTGTACAGGACAATTCTTCAGTCATACATGAATATACATATATTCATTTTCATATTCTTTTTTTATTTGTTTTGTAGTTTTTGTTTTTACAACCGTTTAAAAATGGGGGGAAAAAACCCCAACATTCTTAGCTCGAGGGGTGTACAAAAGTAGGCCACAGGCTGGACTTGGTTCCCGGCCCACAGTTTGCTGACCCTTGTCCTAGGACGAGAACGAGAAAATCATTGGGTGAGCCTGTTAAACAGTGTTTTGGCACAACATTGAAAGCAGGTGCATTTATCTTCTTGGCCACATTTGTAAGGTTTGGACAATTTACAGATATGTAATCATTAAGACAAAGTTTGCCTCCGTACTACCTGAAATCATCTCAGTAAGGGCAAAGCTTACTTTGGGAAACAGGACTAAGTGCACCTCCCAGTGCCAGAGTCTCCCTCCAGCAGTTCAGACGGAACCAACTCATAACCTTCAGTTCACTACTTCTCTGACACCTATGGTTAAGATTTGGGAACTGCCCAAGCCAACTTGGAGGAGATAAATGCGGAGACTCGAGATGACCACTCCCTTGCAGCAATGTGTTAACAAATCATTCTGGCAATTTGTTTAGATTTTTCAAATTTTACTTTTTTCCCCTCCATTCATTCATCTATTTCTTGTTTCAGGAAGTCGTAAGTAGCACTTACCACAGGCCGGGTACTATGCTAGGTAACTGCTTCCTCAGGGAGTAGAGTAATGCCAGTGACATTACTGGCCCCCAGTGCTTACAATCTAGCTATGGAAATAATGAACAAGCGATTACACTGAAGTGAAGTGTCACAGTAAGATGACTGGACATGCCCAAATTGTGAGATTATACTGTTTGCGGCATTGTCACCCTCCATGCACTAAACATATATTTAATGTTTGGTTTTACTGGTTAGAAGGAACAATGAATTAGGAACTATGGAAGCAAGTCTAGTGTTAACTTTGTATTAGCTGGTTTGGTGTCTCTTTCACTGAGTTACAAGATTCTGATTCTTCCATTCCTTGATTTGTTCCCAGTCCACATGTGTATCAGGCAAAAATAATAGTTAAAACAAGGCTAAAAGTTTATTTCTCTCTCAGGTAAAATAAGTCTAGAGACGGGCAGTCAGGGGCTATTACAGTGACTTCACAAAGTCTTTAAAGGACCTGGGTTCCTACTATTTCAATGTTTCATCATCCCTAGACTATGGCCCTCATCCTCAAGGTATAATATGGCTGCTAACATTCCAGCCATCACATCAACATTCCAGGGAGCAAGATGGTAAAAAGGTGGGACTCTCTTCCCTATAAGGCAACTTCCCAGAGGTTGCACATAAAAGTTCCATTTAAGTCTTTGGACAAAATTTAGATGCATAGCCACATCTAGCTGCAAAAAAGGATAAGGAATTTTATCTTTTTGCTGGTCATCAGTGTATCTAGCTAAAACTGAAGTTCTTAATTCGAAAGAAAAAAGGAAAAAGGATTTGAGGAGGCAAATAGCAATCTCTACCACAAGGTAAAACAGCACCCTCAAGATTTAGGATGATGCCTTCCCTAGGCCTCACCTTACCACCAACTCAATCCAAATCTCTCATGATGTAGAGTGACATTACTTCAGGAAAGTTTTTCTATACAGTGTTATCACTTAAGAATATTTTCGTTGCAAGTGTCATAAAACCAAATTCAAACCAGTGTGAAAAAAAATGGTTCCTATATCCCAAAATCATGTTATCATGGCTTTGGCCATGGCTTGATTCAGAAGTTCAAAATGTTTCCATCTCTTGGGTTTACCTTTGGCACGTGGGCTTCATTTTCAGGCCATACCATACCAATTTCGGTTCTGGGGGGGGTTCTGGATTCTTAGAACAACCAACTGCCCTCAAGAACAAGTCTTACATCCTGCCAAGCTCAAGTCCACTGGCTAGGAGAAAGTCCCTTTTTGTCAGCTCCAGCAAAGACCCTCAGGTTCATGCTAACTAGTTCAATTGATGTGACATCCTGGCCACAGTGGGATGAAATGTGGTGACTCACTGAGACCTGAGTGGTAATGATCCATCCTTGGGGCCAGGACTGAAGTCCCCTCTAGTCTGACTGGACTGAGAGCAAGAGAGGGATGGATCCCAAAAGAAAACTGGTGCTCTTATCCGAAGGAGGGGACACAGATACTGGAGAGTCCCTTCCTGAGTTACTGCCAACCTTTTAGTACTCCAGTGTTAATAAAAACCCTGTTAGGGGTGAATTGGAAAAAACAGAGAAATGTAGTTTCTTGCCTCACTGTAAGTGTAAGAGGATCTGCTCTTTAAACTGATGAATAACAAAGGAAATTCTAGCTATTAAGAAATGTCTATAATGTTGATTTTGACATCCTAGACTTATTAATCCCCCTGTGTTTTCAGTGACAAGAACCAATTAGAACCTTGGCAGCTGTCTGAAGGAACAAAGTTCTCAGGTTATGAACAGCCTAATCTCTCTGGGTATGTGAATGTGGGTCAGTCACAGGAGTATTGGGTGTAAAGCTGCTGTTTCTGCCTATATCCTTGCCCAGTGCCCAAGAGAAAATGTCTGATTCTGGCTGAATAAAGGACGCAAGGAACTTTTCATGTAGCTTGGAGGACCGACTGATGAGGTGTTTTCTAAGCATAGGCGCCACCTCGTGGGCAATTTGTACAACTACAGCGCTACGACACGACTTAACACGGGCAACATCTGGCAGGCCAGGCAATGAGAACCAAGAGGCCAGGGACACGTGCCCAAAACAACTCATAACCTGCACATGAATGTTCGCAGCAGCACTATTCAGAAAATAGCCAAGAGGTGGAAACAACCCAAAAATCCATCAATAGATGAATGGATTAACAAAACGCGGTCTATCCATGTAATGTTATTCAACCACAAAAAGGATCGAAGCACTGATGCATGCTACAATATAGATGAACCTTGAAACCGTTATGCTAAGTGAAAGAAGCCGGACACAAAACCACAGATTGTCTCAGTCCATGTATATGAAATGTCCAGAAGAGGTAAATCCAGAGAGAGGAAAAGGAGATTGGCGGTTGCCAGGGGTGGGGAAATCAGGAAAGGGCAGTGGTATTTATTTATATTGACTTTATTAATTTTTTTTGAAAAGGGAATAAACATGGTAAAAATTTTTTTCAGGAAGATATAAATCTGGCCCCCAATCTTGTGGCCCCAGGAATAAATATTTACTGTGTACCTACTAAGTGTCATGTGCTATTGACACTGCTGGTCTGGAGGCTACACTTTGGGAACCAGTGCTCTAGAAAAAAATACTTGAGGTCATTCTTTGATTTTTCCACACAGAAACGTTCATTTCCTTAATATGAGAGGGAACAAAACCTCTTTCAGAAAGATTTGTGTTTGTTTGACTTTTTACTTTTTATTTTGAAGTTATTTCAGACTTACAGAGTTTTAAGAATAATACAATAATCTCTCATATACTCTACCCAGATTCATCCACTTTTAGTATTTTTCCCCATTTGCTCTATCACTTCTTATCCCCTTTCTCACCTCCCGTATATATATATTTTTTCTAGGCCATTTATGAGTAAATTGCAGGCATCATGCCTGTTTATCTCTTAATGCTTTATTGTGTTTGAATTTTTATCTGGATATTTTCTTACATAACCACATTTCAGTTACCAAATTCTGGAAATTTCATTTGATAACTCGTTGACACAAAATTTGCAGGAGCTTTTGACAACACTGCAAACATCTGAGTGACAGGATCACCGTGAGGGAAGCCAGTGATCTTTCTTGGTCCTACTCTGCCTCATCCGAGACTCTCGTATGCCCGCTATGAACCAGGAAGAGGGCCCTCACCCAACCACGCTGGCACTCTGGTCTCAGACTTCTGTCCTCCAGAACTGTGAGAAATAAATTTGTTGCTTATAAGCTACCCAGATCGTGGCATTTTGTTGTAGCAGCTCGAACAGAGTAAGACATCACCTGATCTTCACACATTTCTGACTCCTACTGACTTCTCTCTGCAATCCCATTGTAAAGGGTGGAGATGGGGATATCACCTCCAGCAATAACAACAAAAAAAAATCGTCATCAGCTGAGCGTTTAATGATTTATTTAAAAATCTATATCCAAATGTCATGTTCCTGTACATCTGAGGTAATCTCTGTGTCTTGTTTCTCAGCTAGAAAAGGGGAAATCACAGTTGTCAAATGAGATATTTTAATTCTTGGGAAACTGTGCCTTTTCAGAATCGTACTGTCCATTTGGGCTTCAAAAGGCCACTAAGTGAAGTGGTTGTTTAATGGGTCAGAGCCTCAGTTTTGCAAGATGAAAAGTTCTGTGAATACACTTAAAACTACTAAGCTATACACTTAGAAATGGTTAAGATGATAAATTTTATGTTTTACATTTTTTTTACCACAATAATAAAATGCTTTATTAAAAAGCTGCCAAGTGAGACATCTGAGAAGCTGTCCCAGAAGAGGGATGTTTCTGTGGCTTCCAAAGGAGAGACCAGAGCCAGTCAGCTAACAGTGAGGGAAGCAAGCGGGAGTCCTCTGGCCACGGGTGGAAAAGGCTGCATGTGGGATGGTTCAGGCCAGGTCAAGGGAAATGTTCCAGCGGTGCTGAGGAGCCCCGGCAGGGATGCTGTGGAAACACAGAGCTGTACTGTGGGCATGGGGTTGGCCTTGATGATTGCTAGGGCCCCTCCCAACTCTGAGGCTGGAGGATTTGAGCTGAGTCAAGTTCAGCAAATGCTAGAACTTTCCATTCACAGACTGTCAAATTTTACCATGTTATATTTAAGAAATAGAAAGTTAGGTTAAAAAAAATGTGCATTTTCTCACACTATAGGAGACTATAACTTGGTATGAGTTTTCTGGTAGGAATCTGCTGCTAAAAATTTATCCCAGAAAACAACTGGACAAGTGCACAAAGTGTGTTATTTCCTAAGTGTTCTTCCTGAGCACTATTCGTAATAGCAGAAGACTTCAAACAACTTAAATGTCCATCAAGTGACCACTCGGCAGCATTCAGAGGGACAAGACATCACTCTGTCAAGAAGGGAGAAATCTGGGGCAGAATGGGGGACAGGAAGTAGCCTGAGAGGTGGGATGCTGAGCTCTTCTGCTTCTCTCCGCGGCCTACTCCTCTGTCTGCAGACTGGCTTTCACCACTTTAATACTCATGAGGCAGATGATGACTGGCTCGGCCTGAACAACATGACCCACAACTGGCTTAATGTTCCAGTCTCAGTTTCCCAGAGCCTCTGATGGTCCCAGCTTGGCCCAGATGTCCACTCGTGAGCCAGTCAGCTGTGGCTGCAGGATGGGGTCACATGGTACTCAGTAGATATTAAGCCCATCCCCTAAGCAGGGGCTGTTGGGTGATGAGCACCCTGGAGGTGGCTACACTCACTCATCAGTGTGGTCCAGGACCAGCTGGCACCCTCTGCGGCACCAGGCAGCTTCTTAGCAATGCAGACCCCCACGTTCCACCCCACACCTAATGAATCAAAATGTGCATTTTAATAAGGTCCTCAGGGGCCAGTCTGTGCATTAAAGTTTGAGACACTGGTTTATCATGAGAAAAGACAGTTTACTCTTTCTTTCTTCCCTCTTTCCTTCCTTCCTGCCTGCCCCACCTCCTTTCCTCATTAAAATACCTTTAGCGAGGTATAATTCACATACCAATTCACCCACTTAAATAGTACAATTCAATTTTTTTAATATGTTCACAGAATTGTGCATCTATCACAACAGATTTTAGAACATTTTCACTGCTTTAAGAAGAAACCTGTACTCCTTTGCTGTCATCCCCTAACCCCACCCATTCTCCCTACCCCAGCCCCTGGCAATCACTAATCTGTTTTGTCTCTCGGGATTTGCCTATTCTGGATATTTCATATAAGTGGAATCATAGTGTGTGAGAATGTAAGACCTTTTGTGTTTGCCTTCTTTCACTTAGTGTAATGTTCATGCACAGTGTAGCATGCATCAGTACTTCATTTTCATTGCCAAATACTATTCCATCATATGGATGTATCACACTTAGTTTATCCATTTATCTGTTGTTTCCACTTTTTGGTTGTTACAAATCCTGCTGCGAAGAATATTTGTGTTCAAGTTTTTGAGTGGATTTGTTTTCATTTCTCTTGGGTTAGACTGCCATTTTTGTAAAAAAAAAAAATTCACGTAACAGAAACTCAAACGTGACTGGGCCTTGGTAGGCAGCTTTTGCTATTGCCCAATGCTAACTTCGAAACAGGACTCAGAATTTTTTAGATTGATCCTTTCCAAAGCAAAAACATGCCTGAAAGCAAAACTTACTGAAGATTTTGGGAGGCCAAGAGGGAGTGACACATCACATGGGGTTCAGCCTATCATTTCTGCCCTTCCCCATCCTCAGACACACATCGTCTCCTCAAGATCATCCCCTTTCCCTAGCCCAGCGGGCTTCCTTTTTCCTTGTTCTCATCCTATGTAGCCCCTCTCTTCTCCCTCGCTCCACTCCCCTGCCCTATCCTTTCCTAATGCACTGCATACCAGCCACGCACAACTCGCACACTCTCACCCATGTTCAAGTTGAACCAAGCTTGATGGAAATGGAGCATCAGCTAGTCTGTGGATCTGATAACTCCACAGCTCTTTTGAGCACTTACTCATAGAGCTTCTCATTCTTTCCGCTTTACTCCAGCAAACAGACTGTTGCTCTCTTTACTTATTACAACATGTTGTATCATCAGTGTGGGTCCCTACCCTTATGTCTCCTTTGCAATGGTACTTAAAGCTCATTTCCTTCCGGATGCTAGGTATCCTTCCCTCCCAGCGCCAAGAGCATCATTTCCTCCTTTGAATTACTTTGTACTTAGTACACACTCCCGTGTATTGCCTATACTATGCTGTATTCAATCTGCTTCCTTCTTTAGATTGTGAGCCCTTTGACGACACAGACCAACTGTGTATCCCTTGAGTAGGTGTGTTACAACAGCCCAAAGTGATATATAAGAAATTGAACTGGGGCATTATGAAGGACTGCGCTATTTTAAACTCAAGAAATGTGGGCCTGGGACATAGGCATGGAAAATGGAGTCTCAAGGTTGAAGAGGGTGAGTAAGAGAGCCCTAGAACCTTGCTAGTAAAGGGATGGGTCATGGACCAGCAGTGTCAATATCACCTGGGCACTTGTTAGAAATGCACATTTAGCTTACTTTCACTTTAAGACTTTTGCACTTGCTGTTTCATCTGCCCAGAAATCTCCTTGGATTTCCAGTAGACAGCTCCTTCATTCATCAGAGGTCTCAGCTTCAAGGTTACCGTCTGGGGGGGTCTTTCCTTGATCATCTACTTGGAAAAAGTCTCCATATGCAGTTATTCTCTTACCTCAGCATCCTGTTTACTTTCTTCTTAGCATCCACAAACTCTGAATTTCTCCCTGTTTATTTTCTGCTTCTGTTTTCAGAAAGGAAGATCCATGAGCAGGCACCGTGTCTTGTTTCTACTGTTTCCCTAGGGTCAACTGGGCCTGGTACATAGCGGTGCTCAGTAAATAAATGAATGAACGAGGAACTCTCAAGACTTGATTAACCAAAAGCTCCTGCAGGGTCTTCTGATAGGTTGCTGGTGTCGTGTAAGGAGAACAAACTTGGGTTCCAATTCTAACTTGACCACTTGTCAACTGTGCGCAAGTAAGCTCAGTTCTCTGAGAGTCTCAGTTACCTCATCTGTTAATACGGGATAAGAACATACCTACCAGCCTCAAAAGCCTACTTCATAAAGAAAGGAACTAATGGAAGAAAAGAGCAAAGTTAACGCTCCGTATATATGACTACTATTACTATTATTACAGGTAACTTTTGTTACTGAAGGACTCGGCCAGGGCCACGGTTTCCTCTCCGCCATCACGAGTCAATATCCCTGGCTCCCTCTGCAGGGTGTTTCTGGCGCCCTAAATCCTGTCCGCGGCGCGGGAAGAAAAGAGGAGGTGTGAACGCTCCCGTAGTCACTCGAGTCCGGGGTTGAGGTCCAATAGCCCCGCCCCGTCGGGCGCCTGACCCTCTACGTCATCAGCACGGCGCCAGCGCTGCGGAGGGCCCGGGGCCCTGTCCTGGGTGTGGCGCTACCTTGGGGAGGCCTTGGCGGATGCCTGCAAATCAACCGCGTGGTTCGGGGGCAGCTCAGAAACCCCAG